TCTAATCATTCTGAAAATGCTGTTTCATAAAACGAAAGATGTTTTCTCCTGTATTTTACACGTATAATGCCAAGATTAATTTTTCCCTCATCGTTTGTGTTATTTTATTTTGAGAAAAAATGCGACCCGTGTTATTAAAATTTAAATTATTTTTGTCCTTATATGAATTCAGTTAAATTTCTGTAATTGTGTTTCCTTGAAATCTGTTTCAGTTCAACCCTTCAGTCTAGGCCCAGATCTCTTACGAGGTCTTCATCCCTTCCTATTGCAGTTTTGCACGCATTTCTCACTTCTCCCATGCATTTTACATGCACCACCCATCTCGTCCTTGACTTTGTCATCCTAATGATATTTGTTGAAAAGTGTTAGTAGGCTGTGTACCAAATAACATGGAGAAGATGGACACATGCGGGCGAAAACATTAAAAAGAACATCGAGTAAAAACGAGACAAGGATAAGAACAGACGGAGAGGAGGAAAGTGCAAGCAGTGACTTGTCTGTTCTAAGTTGGTTGAGTTTTCAGCTGCTCGTCAACTTCAGCTGTTAAGTTCCTACAATGTCGCTGCCAGTCTAAGTAACTTGGCAGAAGTTGAAGACTTTCTGACAGCAGAAATTTTGCTTCTCGCCATAAATTGCTTGTGGTTTCCTGGTGTTTCCAGGTTACTGCGGGCGAATGTAGCACAATAACTGCAGATATACGAAAGAAAGTTTTCTTAAAAAAAAAATTAAGGCCATTTTAGTTCGCCTCAAACGTTAAAAATGTGGCGGGTACAAACATTTGAATTTTCCCATACAACATCTAATTCGTTTTCGTTTTGTTTTGAGCAGAGATACTTTGAGATGGCTACTTCATTGATAGAATTAAGCAAAAAAAACTACGACTTATGATCCAGAATTTCAAAATTAAAATCAGAATTTTTATGAGGCACTGCACTGGCCATCGCCTAGAATAAAAATGCGGATTCATTTCTGATTTCCTGTAACAGTGTTAGGTCTTAGATATACGATTTCAGTTAGGAGATAATTAATTTAAATTGTTAATTATTGAATCAGTGACGATTATGGGCTAAAGAGACTACATTTTTATCTTAGCATCTGGCTGTGTAGAATCCTTACAGATCTAAGTGTGATTTGAGCTTCTCGGTTAATATGAAGATGACAGTCTTTCGGAGGTGCTAACCGCCTCCTTCATCAGGGCAATTATGGAGGCAGTACGCACCTCTCAAAGATCTGTCAACTTGCACTAGACTAACTACATGTTGCAACATCCCAGAAGGCTGACATCTGTCATAAATTCCCGTTTATCAATGGTAAAAGCAATGCTCTTCCAACAAATAAAGTCCTACATTTTCCAGGTATGAGACTTTCTTAGATTGGTGTGTTATTAAACCTTTAAAAGCCTGAAGATGGTTCAATGTAACCGAAACATGTAGTAAAAAGTTGTACCAAATATGTAAATGATATTTTAATATCTTATGTATAATTTTATTTATATACAATTGTGATTAGACGGAAAAAAACACGAATAATTAAATTTTAATTCACAATATGACGCAATTATATCAACTTTAAAATCCAGTCTAAATTAGTTGTACCACCTAATGTAACAGCCAGTTTAGTCCGCGTTCTGTATTCATGAACCTCACTGTAAACAGCGATTATTTCTTTAAAAAAAATTAACCCCTTTTAAGCCGAAGCACGCGCAGTTAATATTTACTTATCCAGTCCGTACCGCGAAGAAAACACAAATAGTCTATATTACAAAGATAGAAATCTATAGCTGTTTATACTAAGAATCACACGTAACGAATAAATACAAAATTCGAGTTACTAATAGTTCACGCAGGCCGGATTTATAATTACCACTAGGTTCTAAAGGGTTAATATACAGCACAAAAATGTGACACTCGTGAGTCGAACATCAGACGTCTCTATTTCAGAGCAGGCCAAGCATGATGAGACAAATTGTGTTCCAGCTGACACCGTCTAGTTCAGCTATCCCACGGGATTCGCCTACAAAGGGGCGTATCGCATAACCCATATCTGAGTCCTGCAGGAAGGCTCTAGTAGTGTTGAAAGCGGAACTTTGACTCTAAACAAAACACAGCAATGCAAAGCAAAGCAAAGCAGTAGACCTATATTGAGGTTCGAGGTTTCAACAGCGGTGAAAATGTTGAATGTGGTCTCTTGGGCCAAGGAGGGACGTAGACCTGTAGAAAGTTACAAACGTTTCGGAGGAATTTATCGACTACTTCTTCACTTCTGTACTGAATGCGAAGGCGATACTGTTGGTAACCGTTTACAAATCCACACGACTTCACAAACCCAAAAAGATCACATTCCGTAATACAATAGCCTACTTTATATTTCAGCTGTGATTGACAGTGGTCAGGTGTGCCCCTATTCAAAATTAATTCTGAAATAATTACATTAGACATAGGATGTAACAAAAACCCTTGAAAGGGGATCAGCGTATCGCTAGGCCCTTACCTAATCATGACAATATAACACATGAAAATGCTGAAATACACTCAGAAATTGGGATTCAAACCATTTTAAATACTCGACACTAGCAGCAGTAACGTAGCAACTGAATAATGACGCAAAATATATAAAAAGCAAGACTGGTCTAAGTTACTTAGTTATTACCGTCCTGGGAATTACCAACCCAATTTTTACGTTTTATGTCCGACTCCAAAATCCCTACGGTGTCCGACCTAGGTTAAACTAAATACACAGGCAATGTAATAAATATGAAAAACTTGTGAGATAAAAATTTAGTAATTATGCGGAAATCATGCATCCTGCAATGGATGAAAAATTCATAATGCATTACAAACATTGCAGGCACTCTGAAATCAACAGAATTGCAAGCTGCAATGTTCTTACCGATTTTGTTCTTAAAAAGAGATATATTTTTATGAGATTTTTAATTCTATACCAGTGTCTTTAAAATAAATGTAGGTAAATAATGTATTTGTATCAATTAGGGTAGTTAATTGCAAAAAAAAAAAACATCGCTCTTCTTACAAGTACACAGAAAATAAGTTGTCGACTGACTTCAAATTCGTGTTCCCACTTCTCCTTAGACATGCTGCTGTAATATCTAACACTGGGTCATCATCACATGTGATCTACATTTTTAGAAATCCTTGCTCCAAATCTGATACAGTTCACAATTACCAGATTCTTGCGAACGCCCCACAATTATTACGCGGTGCGTACATATCCTAACTTGTTATAATGTACACATACACATATACAGATGTTTGTATGGTATTTCCACAACAATATCAGTACGCACTTTGGTATCACTGCTTCAGATTATAGAAAATATCTGCCGTTTTCTAGAGAATTTTCTTCTAAGTTAATGTCAGGGTCGCGTCATTCAGTAAAAGTGGATGAATTATAGGCAAAGAAACTTGTAATGGAAGTTGGTGTTATGCAAATAGATCTTATAATGGAAGTATATCAGATGTTGGCACACGAAGGCTTTCTTACAGATCCTGTAGGAGGATTCCAGTGAGGAAACTGGAATACGCACAGTGGTAAAGGACACCTTGTTAGTAAGAAGGCGGCTTAGTGACTACACTCGCGTTCAGTACCTGACACACAGTCTGAAGGTTTTACGTTACCTCATAGTTTAAACCAGTTACTTTGACTTTAGCTACAGAAAGTCAGAGGTGGCAAATTACAGCTCCCCTATCTCATCTGTCCTCTGCAGCAACATTTATTTCGTCTTTAATCGTAAAACCGTTCTTTTAACACTTTAAACATTCTTTCCCTCCTTCAGATACTGTTACTGAGCCGGTATAATCACTGTGCCACGAGCTGAAAGACCTTGGTTCGATCCTCGGCAGGATCACGAAGTTTTCTCTTTGCAATCTAAATAGTTCTTGGGCTCACCATGGACTCGTTTCATGTAGATAAAAACTGATTTTTCTAAGTATGATTATTTATGTAAAGCAAGCTTAAATACGCTTATATCACCGTCGATTCATTCTCAATATGAACGGCGATTATTTCCTTAAATAACGTTAACTAGCTGGTCTTTAAAATGGTTAAGACTTGTGTTTTCTTTGCGGTAAGGACTATTTAGACAAGTTTCGAATTCAAAGGTTTATTTTTTTTTTAATCTTCAGCATATTTTGCATTTCCTATAACTGAAGATTCTCTGGCAAATAAAAAAATCTTAACTTCCACCCTGAGGCTGAGCCCCCTCGGTAGCAACAGCTGGCGCTGATCTTGCCCCATTATGCGATTTATTCCTTCTGCTGCGCGGTACATTCAGAGTGCTTTGCTTTGGAAAGCATCCGATATTCTTCCCGCGTTCATTTATATCACTCCAAAACACCTTTTTATACAAACCGAAATCACCATAAATCATAAACGTTTAAACACGAAAATTGCGTATGCTTTTTCTCAGATACCCATTACTCGAACAATTCTATACTAGATTTTGTCCTATTCTGAAATAAATTATCGATTTAGGGGGATTAATTTAGATAACTGGGGGTCATATTATAGAGAATTATAAATAATTTTAATGTAAGTGTAGAGGAAGGGCATTGTTTACACCCATGGAAGTCCTGAATTCAATACGTAAGATACGAACAGAATTTTAAAAATGGTGGATTATATTTCCAGAAAATTAGCAAGAACTCTTATTACTTCCAAATGACCAATTTTGGAGTCATCATTTATAACCCGAGTACCACAGATACATTTATTTATTTATTTATATGACTCTGGAATGCATGGACATCGTTTTCAGTAGTGATGCTAAGTGGCAGAAAGTTATGTTCTGCAAATGCTGCTCCTGTTAGGCAGGTTTTAGATGTGCCTTTGCAGATTATAAAGTTAAGAACGGAATAAAAATATTGGGGCAATATGAGATTAAGATACGAAAGCGATCATTGCCGGTTGAAATCCAACGGGCCATTTCTACCAGTATATATGTATTAAGTGTTATGTTATTTCAAAATACGGTTGTGTTGTAGCGTTGCCGGAAGAAGGCCCCAGGATTACTGGCGGTCGGCCACGGTATCAGATCGGGGACACGGTTCGAGTTAACTGCACGTCCGGAAGGTCCAAACCAGCGGCTCAACTCATGTGGTTTATCAACGGAGAACAGGTGAGTAAGAGGACCACGGAACTGCATTGCAGTATTCCTTTTCAACACTAAAATTTTACGATTATTTCAGTTACACTGAAAATCCTAACACTCGGTAACACTTTTTTGTGTAGGTAGGGATATTCATAATATATATATTATGTAGGGATAATTTTGAACCCCACGTATCCCGTCAGATTCTACAGAGGCCCCTCGGCTGTTTACGTTGTGTTTGAGAGTTGATAGTGACTGGTGTCTTAAAACAAAATGAAGCTAGTAGGAGAATAGCAAAGTACGATTATTTCAGCTGTATGTTATCAGCCTTCCCTACCTTCAATGGCCTGGACTGACTCAGGATAACTTCGGAGGACGTGGATTCCTATTCGAAAGTTGTTCTCTCTGAGTCCCTCTATACGCTCCTTCAGTTTGGCCCTAACCTTTTGAATCACCCTGTATTTTAAGTACTACTTTACATTTCCCCGTTATTATTAACAGGAAATTTTCTAGTAACTTACGCTGATGTATGGGTTTTAACTACCTTGTGATATCATTCAAGGCTTATCCCGTCAGATTCTACAGAGGCCCCTCGGCTGTTTACGTTGTGTTTGAGAGTTGATAGTGACTGGTGTCTTAAAACAAAATGAAGCTAGTAGGAGAATAGCAAAGTACGATTATTTCAGCTGTATGTTATCAGCCTTCCCTACCTTCAATGGCCTGGACTGACTCAGGATAACTTCGGAGGACGTGGATTCCTATTCGAAAGTTGTTCTCTCTGAGTCCCTCTATACGCTCCTTCAGTTTGGCCCTAACCTTTTGAATCACCCTGTATTTTAAGTACTACTTTACATTTCCCCGTTATTATTAACAGGAAATTTTCTAGTAACTTACGCTGATGTATGGGTTTTAACTACCTTGTGATATCATTCAAGGCTCAACCAAAGTTGTATATATTTTTTTTTTCGACAGGCCGACAGCACTTTTCTCCAAGGACCGGAAATAGTCTACACCGGAAGGGAAGGTTTAGAGACTGCCATTTTGGGTTTAGAATTCCGCGTGAAGCCGAAACACTTCCGTCGAGGTGACATGAAACTCAAATGTCTGGCCACCATTGCAACGGTCTACTGGCGTAGCAATGAGGAGAGTGTCGAAGGCGACAAACCACAGAAGGCGCCCGTTCTTGAGAGCCGAGAGACTGTACCCCCTAGTAAATCAAGAGCGGACCGCGTCCAAGGTAAGTACGCGACTGCCATCTTGCAGAACTTTTGACAGCATCAACCGAGATAGGATGGTAGCGGGTAACTCGGATTGAGAATCGAAAGAATATCGAAGTGTGTACCATTGAGAGTTACCGCTGTGCAGACTTGCTCAGCCCTCACTTCTGAGGCCCAGTTCAGCCCTTGTGAGATTTGCGGTGGAATAACTGGCTCTAGGAGCTTCTCGAGTCATTTTTCCGTGTCCCTAACGTGTTTCTTCATATTCACTCATGAATCATCTGGGAATGGATAATTGGTCCGTTAGCGATCGCATTTCTGTAGAAATATTGTCTCAGTCAATTCCAATAACAAGCAGTGAGAAATTAAGTGTGACAAATGTGTACCCCAAAACACGCATTTTGATTTCTTACTGTGCACAAGTTGGATCCACTAGCTTCTTCAGCCATCTCTTTTGTTTGCGGGTCGCGTATGTGGGAAATAAGAAATGCCTACAGAATTTTAATCGTAAATCTGAAGAGAAGAATTAAATTATATATCTAAGCATAGATGTAAGGATAACATTAAAATGAAGGTGAAAGAGATTACTTGTGAAGTGTACAGGTTTCATCTAGCTTAAGTTAGATGCCATTAGCGGGATTTTATGAACTTTCGAGGCAGGAAGAATCTGAGTAGTTGTCAAATTCTCAGTAACGACTTTGCCGTGTGGATTATATTTTTTAGTTACTTGGTTAATTTTAGCCCTTTGAAATCAGGAACTGAGTGTAAGTGAGATTTACACATTCAGTTCGTGCCCCAAAACACAACGCCTCGTAGTTAAAGACCCTGATTACTGGCTTTTGAGAAACAATAAAGCTTTGTTTTTAGAATCATACGAAATCCATTAATAGTCTGTTTGCGAAATTAAAAGAGTTCCCGAATGTCAGATGTCTGGTAGGATTTGATGTTTTCACGGCGGAAAATCTAAATATTGCTGCTCTCTGGGGCGATTACTCTGATGACGGAGGCAGTATGACCTCTGAAACGTCGGTAAACATCGACCAGACTACACAGCGCAACAACGCAGAAGACAGAAATCTTCATACTCTGATGACGGAGGCAGTATGACCTCTGAAACGTCGGTAAATTTCTACCAGACTACACGGCGCAACAACCCAGAAGACATCCATCTTCAGATGCGTGCTCGAAAGCGTTAGACGTTCACTTCTAAAATCATGGAATCCGATCGACGATGTTTTATGAAAGTTCGAGAGTTCTATCGAATATTATCGAAAGACACACACAAACGTCCTTTTACGAGTCAGGTAAAAGTTGAGGAAGTTAGTAACTGTACATTGTCTTTACTCTGTATTTTCCGGGTCAAAAGTCTGACCACTGAACTATTCCGAACGTTGCATTTGTCATCCAAGCACATATTCAGGCAGGTTCAAACTTCGATATGGAAGTCGGAAAAAGAATTTTTACACTGCGACAACGGATACAGCAGGTAAGTGTTCGTATTACAGGAACCATTAGAATTGTGTTCATGATACAGAAATCCTTTTCGTAACACCGCCAAAACACTTGTTGAATTTTGTACCTTTAATAAAGATATAACAAGATGTTTTAATTTATTGAACAAGTGTTCTGTAACAAAGTCTGAAGCAATAAATTATCATTACTTTCGAATCGAGTGCTTTATTTACAGTCAAATACATTACTTCATTTCCATTTTATTCCTATGAAGGAATCCGTTTGAAGACTAAAAGTGTATTTAAAATAGGTACTTCTTCGTAGTGGTCCAGTTTTCTACATTAGCTCCTTTGATATTTAAAATTCAATTCTCTGTGAGCCCAACTCCAGACTGTACTGACTGATACCTCGTTAGATAATTATCTTAGCTCCGAATTTAATACAAAGGAGATAATAATTAAAGTTTAACTTCCCGTTCCTTTGTACCGACTTTCGTCCGCCTCGCCTCTAACTCACGTCTCTTGTATTACTCATTCAAAAATCAAAAGTCCCAAACGTAAATCTGTATTACGCGTCTCCTCGATCACTCGATTGTAAATCTCATGATCAATTTTGTATCGATGACCTCTTTTTCACATAAGTTATCTAGTTGAATTTTTAAACCCTGAGGTGCCATCAACAACTTGAAGTCCTTGAGCACTAGGTACACATCTCCTTTACCGAGCTTAGTTAAATTGTAACTGGTCGTATACTTCATATCGCAGTCATCTGGAAGAAAATGAAGGCAACTACAATGTTATCTCAGTGACATAAGATTTTCTTAAACACGTATCAAATATTTTGCTCATCATAAAGAATTTGTTTTTAAAAATGAATTCTGTCGCCCTCTGTGGACTAGTGGTTAATGTGTTAGCCACTGGACCCAAGGTTCCCGAGTTTTTACGGGTGATAAGAACCCGTAGCACAACTTTCTTCTTAGGGGAAGTACAGTCGTCGGTCCCATGTCATAGATTCTCTACTAGATGGCCCTCGCAGACAAATCAGGATTGAGCAGAAATTGTGCTGAGGCAGTGGGCTTTTTAATCACTACTCAAAATGCACTTCAAGACTAATAGGACAAGTTGCCTTGAGCAATTGTCCTGGAATGGGCCAATGATCCAATCCTTCGAGTGGAAATGAATGAAAGAAAGAATGAATGAAGAATAAATTCGCTCCATTGAATTTTATCCTGGATTTTTATGTTTACTTCTGAAGATCGTAACCAAATATCTCTAAAATTCATTCGGGTATCCATGAGATTTTGCAACCGGTGTTTTCTTCTGGGTACGGTCTGGATTCGTAAATATTATGAAGACGAGCTTCGTCTTCAAAGGGTTAACCAGCTGATTTTCGTAATGGTGAGGTGTAGTGTTTTCTTCGCGGTACGGACTGAATTCATAAATAATATTCAGACGATCTTCGGCTTCAAAGGGTTAACCAGCTGATTTTCGTAATGGTGAGGTGTAGTGTTTTCTTCGCGGTACGGACTGAATTCATAAATAATATTCAGACGATCTTCGGCTTCAAAGGGTTAACCAGCTGATTTTCGTAATGGTGAGGTGTAGTGTTTTCTTCGCGGTACGGACTGAATTCATAAATAATATTCAGACGATCTTCGGCTTCAGAGGGTTAAATGCAAGTGCGTTACTGTTAGCGTAATGTGAACACGCTGTAAAGTAACGTTAGGATAACGACAAAGTGAACAGAGAACACAAGACAGTTTTTATGTTTTCTTACGTTTACAGAGGCCTAAACGTTCTCCATAATAATACCAGTTGGCAAAATGTACTGTTTTGCAAGTGCTGCTTACATTAGGCAGTTCTCACAATATGACTGAAGAGAATGATTAAATAACATGGGAGTAAGAGACGAAGATAACTTAATTATTCCCCGTTGCATTTAAACGGGCATTTTCTACTTGTATGCCAATTACGTGTAGGACAGAGAGAGAGAGAGAGGTCTAATGCGCCAGTATATCAAACTGCACGTTTTATTTCCGCGTATGCCAAAAGGATTTTTATTAAATTTGGTAATGGCGGTCTATAAAAATGTTCTCCAAAAAACTTTACTTTTTGAAGGAATGACATGTCATCAGGTTCTTTCGTGGAAACTTCCTCCAGATGTGGAGGGTAGCTGTGAATATACCGAATGAGCAGTTGCGGACCGCCGACAAGGGGAGGTCCTACAGCCTGTTACGAATGGTACACAAGGCCCAAGTACGATTTAGTTGATTGATCTGAGTTTACGAATCGTATGTCCAGAAAAAGTTTGTTACGGATTTACAATTTGGAAGTCGCTATTTTACTTAATACATTTGTTGTCATTTGAAACATTTGTTTGAGTATGAAATGCCCGAAAAATGTCGTATGTTTCCATTTAACATGTACTATAACATTCTGTAACTCCTAAACAGTTTTTATAGATATGGAATTTTCAAATGAAGTTTATTTTAGAGAGTAATTTACATTCCTAAACTGGTTATATCTGCTTAAAATTATTCATTGTCTGGACTTTTTCCATAGACGAACGGACCCAACTGAGTAGGTACCTCTCGCCTGAAGACGGAAACAGCCAGTTGCCGAAACGTCGTGATTTTCTTCTTTTAAACAAAGACGATGGAAAAAGTCCAGACAATGGATAATTTTTAAGTGTAATCCACCGTCTTCAGAACCCTTTAGAATTGCATTGGTTATATCCAATTCACCAGCGCCCCAAAAGTGTCCCAATGAAGGATTAAGTTAACTTCTTCAGTCAGAATCAGGGAACGAGGAAAATTATACCTTCGAAACCCCGAAGAGAGAGAGACAAGATAAGAAGGATAGCAGAAGAGTAGAATTTGCAAAGAGGACATTGGTGGA